TTTTTTTTTTTTTTTAATGCGACATGGAATTTAAATGTTTTTTTTTTTTGTGATGAATGCTGCCAAACATAGACAGTTATTATGAATTATTAACTGAAACTTGCAAATGAAAAACGAGGTCCCTGTTTGAATTGATTTTGTAGAATTGTTACCGAATTTAGTAAAAACTCACTTCATGCATAATAATAACTGACCAATCATTGGTCAGGACTCATCAGTACTCATGCACATCCTTAGCAAACAACCCAATATATTTATTAGACATCTTACCTTTGGGGAATTTAAGACAAGACCAGTTTATTTATTTTCGAGCAATCATAAGAAGAAGAAAAAATATATATGAAGATTCTTAAATGTTCTTGGGAATGCAAAATATTCTTAAGAAAATATGTTACAAAGAACTTTATTCTTAATTTGTCATGAATCTGGCCCCTGATCTGATCTGATTTGCAATGACTTATTTGTATATGCCATATTAAATATATGAGTGGTTTTGTTGGGCTAGCAGTGATGCTTAAGCAACCTTTGTCGTCATAACTCAAGCACGTGTTTCACTTTGACCTCTAACCTCCTGTCAGATAAAGTTCCCTTTGATTCCACTGGGCCACAAACACATAACCGCACAAGGCTCTGTCTTATAGAATGACTTCCTGTAAAAGCGTTTATGTCTGTAATCAGTCTGGATCAGAGGCTGCCATGTGTCCGAAGGCTCCTCCCCATCAATACACAGCTGACCTACCTTATTTTTTTTTTTTATATTTACGTCCTGTTAATGTTTGGCAGTACAGACTGACACTGATAATTACAGGTGTTTGTGTGTGTAACCAAGCAATTGCAAGCATGTATACTCTGTGTCGTTAATAACATTTGCCCAGCTTAACTAGTTAGTGATTGATGGGTTAGTGCATTGGTAGTTGTGAATGTGTTCTCTATTATTAAATGTGAATGTGCAAAGAACAGGAAACATGTTTAACACACCAGTTAAACTATCTAGTAAGATCTCGGTGCAAAAAGTACTTTATTTTGATGTAAACATACTTTTGTTTGGTGTTCAGTTTTTACTGTCTATCAGAAAAACATTATAATTAATGCATTCAGCTTAATGCTCAGTATTTTGTTCTGTTGCGTATCATGCATATTTTTGGAAATTAGGTGTTTAATGCACATGTTGCAGTGATTACTTTTAGCTCGTTGGATAAAATGCTCAATGCCTAATATATGCTTGTATAGGAGTAAAAGGGGATTAATTTTATTTCCTGTATGTGTTATTGATTCAAGCAGACCTTTGAATGTCTACAGAGGTTTCTGTGTAATCATAAAGAACTTTATAGCCTTATAATGAACTTTACTTGAAATGAAACAAACAAGTTGGCAAATCCAGCTTTATAAAAGCACAACCATGTGCCGTGAATTTTATGCATTCGATTTTGTTCATATTGTGATAACCTGATAATGCACATTACAGTAAGTAGACTCACAGACGAGATTACAACATTTCCAAGATTGCTTTTTTTTAATTGCCTTGTAATCTTATAATTGCTGTTTACTGACCGGAACAGTGTGATTATTGCTCAAGTGACCTACATAATGATTACAAGAAAAATAAATCTTACAAATATATTTAAACATGATTTTTGTCTCTTCTGTTTGTTTCAGCTGGATTTGACTGTCCCGTCTGCTCTAAGTTTGTCTGTTCAGATGAAATAGATGTTCATTTGCTCATGTGTTTCTCCAAACCCAGACTCCATTATAACGGTAAGAACAACCTTCACTACCACACATTGACCGCAGATCACTCTCTTTCTGTCCAGTTAGATCACTTACTGTTCCTGCAATCTTGAGCTCTCAAACAGAATTAAAGCTACTTAAAAATATCTGAAATAACAAAAAACTTTAATTTATTTTATGGTGGGCCTGCAAATTTGTTTCTGTCCTCCATTGTTTATTTCAATGCTGATTTGTTTTGTTGGGTAACAGCACCCCCATGTGTCATCATCTGACTCCTGCTGCTCTGAGCTTCTTTAGTGACGTTGTGATGTTTTCTCTTTCTGTAGATGATGTTTTGTCCCGGGACTCTGGTGAGTGTTCGATATGTCTGGATGACATGCTTCAGGGGGACACCATCGCTCGACTGCCCTGTCTCTGTGTCTACCACAAAGGGTATGAGAAATATTCACTAACACACACACACACACATACCTGCTGCCGTCTGTGGAAATCATCTCATCTTCTGCTCCTCCAGGTGTATTGATGAATGGTTTGAGGTCAACAGGTCGTGTCCAGAACATCCTACAGATTAACATTAAAACAGGTCAGATGTTAGACACTTTCCACAAATAGAGTGGTGTCACCAGTAACCAATAATTACAACAACGACAAAAAAAAGATACATTTTTTTTCTATCTGCAGATATTTCCAGTAAAGAAGACCAGCAGAGAAGGGCTCAGCTAATGTCTTTCTCCAGGATCTGACTCTCTTTGACACTAGATGATAAATCCATCATCATCTGAGACCAATATGGACTAAAACCTGCAGTGCCAAATCTAAATGAAATCATGCATATACTTTGCACAGTTCTGTTAACGAACCTGAAGGCTGTTTATCAGTAATCTAGCTGCCATCTTTACACATGGAGCTCTTTAGAGATCAGATGGGTGGACTGCAGTATTACTGCTTCATAGGTTAGGGTAACATATCAGTGGTTTCATGATCCATAACCACAACAGGACTTTGTTAAACTGTTTTTAACCAAAGTAAGAGTTGTGTAGAAAAGACATGAATGTAGAGGACGATGACTGACAGAATGTGAGTAAAGGAGGAACATGGACCTAATCGAAGATATTTTCTGTACACTTCGATTTTTGAAATTATATTTAAAATGGATGAACCAGTTGTGAATGTTTTTGATAAATGCTGTTAAAAAAATGTTTTCTAATGTGCTGCTGTGTATGTAACAGGTGCTATAACAGATAATATAAATTATCATTTATATATAAATAAATTCTAAGGGCTCTAGAATGTAAAAATGTGTCATTTTCTACTTTGTTTCTGTATGACCATTATTCTGTCCAACAACATTAGGTGTTTCTATATTATTAGTTTATAATGTGTGAATGTGTATGTATTTTTATATATACACAACTATGTAAAAGTCTTAGGCCACTAGTATTTTCACCAACAAAAATGGTTTTAATCCAGTTATTTCTGTAGTGTTTTAGCAGGAAATATAAGTCTACATTTCCAAACATTATTTTAGCCATTAATTGTAATAATCCAGTACTGTAAAAAGTTTTAGGCACTTGTGTAAAAATGCTGTAAAGTGAGGATGATTTCAAAAATAATGCCATAAATAGATTTTATTTATCAATTAACTTCTATTAATGAAATTAAATCAACATTTGGTGTGACCACCCTTTACTTTTTAAACCCCTTTTGTCCTAGGTGCACTTGCGCATAGTTTTTCATGTTGATTTGCAAGCATTTCTTGAAGCATCTCCGAGACGTTGCCACAGTTCTTCTGGTTTTAGTCTGTTTTTTTCCTGATTCTTCATGTCATTCCAGACAGTCTGGAAGATGATGAGATCTGGGCCCATATTCACAAAACATTTTATCTTATCACTAAGATTTTACCTAAATCGAGGTAAAAGTTTCCAGCTAAGTTTTCTCTTAAAACCTATTCACAAAGCTGCTGAGACAAACTTATGCCTTATTTTGCCTTATTCAAATAAAGTAAAAAAAAAAAAAAAACACACTTTCAAATAAAGTTTTTAAAATGCAGGCTGTCACTAATTAAACAAGTATATGTTCAGTTAATTGTCAGCCTCTTACATGTGTGCTCTTTGTAAACAATTAGCGGTTATGCATATAAACAGCCTTTTAATTAACAGAGTAGAATAATCATGGCTGATGGCAAGGCATGTAAACGTAAAAGAAAACCAAACTGGACGCAAGAACAGCTGTTACTTTCATATATTCTAGATTCATTGCATGTAAAGGGAAACATTTCAAAAGTTTTTTTTTTTTAATTTTGATGATTAGAGCATACGGTTCATGAAAGTCAAACATCCAGTATCTCAAAATATTAGAATATTTACATTAGAGTTTCATTAAATGACAATACCTACAGTGTAAATTCCGGGTATCTCTTGTTCTTTGAAACCACTATAATGGGGAAGACTGCTGACTTGGCAATGGTCCAGAAGACAATCATTGACATCCTCCACAAAGAAGGTAAGTCAGTCGGAACTTGCACATCTTTTAAATATCACGCCATGAATATCATTTTGTTGTCATCTATCATCCTTCAGGTCAACTGGTAAACGTTCTTGACGTTCTCCTTGTCCTCTTTTGAAACCCCTCATAGTGATTCCAACATGCACTTTGACAAACATCAAGAGGCTGATTTGGGCATCACAGGTACAGTACTTTAGTGAATTAAATCTTAATTCACAGAAAGATATTGAAACAACTTTTTCCCCCAACTCCATCTACTGTCAAAAATGAAAAACTTTCTAGCCAAATAAAAGAGATGCCGGACCATGCATTCATTACTTTTCATTTCGGTGACTGCAGCTGTTTATATTGCAGTATTTCTAAATCACTAAGTGTTTGCCTCCTACTGGTCCAAAATGGTGCTGCCAAATTTCTACACAAAAGCCATGAAAGCAATCATCACTACTTTTCTGAGCGCTCTTCATTGGGCCTATCCAATTTAGAATTGATTTTAAATTCTCTCATTTGTGTACAAGTCCCTACATAACCAAGCTCCCAACTATTTAGCTGATTTGCTGCGTCTTTATTTTCCCCAGAGAAGTCTTAAGATTGAGCGGTCAGAACCTTCTTATATACAGTACAGTAGTCCCCCACTCTAGACTGAAACTAGGAGGGGACCAAGCGTTCTCTGTGGTAGGGCCACAGTTATAGAGAGATCAGATTGGCACCTTCGTTTAATTTTTACATTTCTTTTATAAACCTTATCTTTTATCCTTGGCTTTTTAACTGCTGTGTCTTTCATGTGTTAACAGTTGGATTTTGATTGTGGATTCTGTTTAGTACTCTGTCTTTTAAGTGTTGATAACTTTGACAACTGAGCTTTTTGAGTTGGTGCTTTTTAACATCACTAACAGTCAGTGGAAAACAGCTCATCTTCCGGTTCTTCCAGGTGCATTGATGAAATGGTTTGAGGTCAACAGGACCTTTAGTCCAGAACATCCCACAGATGAACATTAAAACGGGTCACATGTTAGACAGTTTCCACTAACAGAATGTATTCATATCATTTACAAATCCCTTTTTTTCTTATTTTTTTGTGTGATAAATATTGCACAAAAAAGTGTACCATATTCATATCATATTCCACACAAAACTGTATTTTTGTTACCTATAGAAGCATCCTTAGGATCTGACTCGATTTGGCACTAAATGGTGAATCCATTTGGACCTAAAATCTCATGTGCCAAATCTAAATGAAAGTATGTATATGCTGCACACAGTTCTGATAACAGACCTGAAGGCTGTTGAGTTGTTATAATGTGTGAACTAGTTGCAATCTTTACCCATGAAGCTCTTTAAAGATCAGATGGTGGAATACAGTATTACTGCTTCATGTCTAGTGGTTTCATGATCAGTAACCACAGGATGGAATACCACCATTTTCACCATGGCATGTGTCTTTTTATTTAGAGGAATTAAATAAAGGAAGAACTGTAAAATAACTGTAGAATAATAATTTGTTTGTGATCAATTTAAGCTGTCTGCAAATGATATAGATGTTGTAAATATTCAGTTTCAATCTTATTTGTATGCCTGATATGTTGAAAATGCTAAATGGAAAAATGCTTCATGTCTAATCAAATTAATTACATGAATCATGTGAATAACAGCTCATATTGTCAGTTCAAAATTTGAGTAGTTTGATCTTTCAAACAGTGGCAAATGTGTGAATTTACTACATTACAAAATGTCATGTTATTGCCTAAATAACTTGACTGATGGCTCCCTCAAATCACTGTGCAATGAGAATCTTGTTTCATGTTGAAAACTCAATCCAGTGGTACTGAAATTAAATATTTTATGTTGTAAATATTGTAAATATACTATATTTCTAATTGTAACAGTATTATTAAAATGTAATTGTTTTGCCATGAAATGAGCAAATACACTGCTACTGATTTCTGAATCAAAAAGATGATCTTGCTGCATAATTAATATTCCTGTGTTTAAATGCCCATAAAGCCTTCGTCACACAAATAACCGCACCTCAAACTTGTCTTTTATAAAATTATTCTTTGCTACACAGAATTGTACAATTTTGACATCAAAGTATTTAAATTACTGATCAAAACTAATAAGGTAAACTAATTCTCATGAACAAAACTGTGTATGAACTATAAGATATGCGCTGGATATTTCTCTTGAAAAGGATCGGTAACCTTGCGGCCATATTGAAAGTGAAAGTATAAATCCAAGACTTCATGTTGTGTTTTTTGTTTGTTCTGAGATTCAACATGGCTTTTCTCTCTCTCTAGAATTCCTTCTCCGCTCTTAAGTCTAAATCAAAATAATTCAGAAGCAATAAATAGCCTGTACCATACACCACATTAACGCATGCATTAAGATTAAACATTATTTTTGTGTGTGTGTACTTAGAGCTTGGCAATAAACTCTCGCACCGAGTTATGCAAGATATTTGCCAAAGGTGAGACTACATGTGTTCAGTGTTTAGAATATAAATTTGCAAGC